TATGAATCTGTGATGGTGTTGATGGTGGCAGTGCGGTGGTGATGGCGCTGTGGTGGTGCGGGTGACGATGCAAGGTTATGGTGATGGCTATAGCGGTATGCAAGGTCATGGTGGTGGCTATAGCGGTGAAGATCGTGGTGTAGAGTTTTTTCTTGGTTGTTGGGCGCGGCGCAAGCGATGGCGGCATGGTGTTGGTGGCAGAAGTATCGACGTCGGTCGAGTGGATCAATAGTGCTTTTGACCAATAAATTGCTTGATTTGGTCGTGGTGGTGAATGCAGTGGTTGTGGAAATGGGTGACGTGGGTGGTGCTGGCTGTGGCGTTTGCGGTGTCAATTTAGAGAAATGGGTGGATGCAATTTGGGGTGGGTTTTGCTGGATGCGGTGGCAGCGATAGTGGTGGCGCTGAAATTTGTGACTATGCATGTGACTCTCGATTGTAACTCACACAATTGGATATGTGATTTGAAAATTGTGACTCACAATTGATTAAGTTGTGACTGAAAAATTAATCGTGACCAATTAATTCAATAATTTGCAATGAGTAAATGAATTGTGACCAATAAAGTTTTGAATATGTGACCGATGAATAATCTGACTGTAAAATTTTTGGATTCGTGAACGAAAAATATTTGTGACCTATAAAATTTTTGATCTGTGACCAAGAAATAAGTTACGACCAATAATTTGATAACTCGTGACTAAAAATTAATCTGATATGTGGCCGATGAATAATCTGTGACCTGTAAAATTTTTGGATTCGTGACCGAAAAATATTTTGTGACCTGTAAAATTTTTGGATTCGTGACCGAAAAATATTTTGTGACCAATAAAATTTTCGATCTGTGATCGAGAAATACGTTACGACCAATAATTTGATAAGTTGTGACTAAAAATTAATCCATGACTAATTAATTAGATAATTGTGACTACAAACTGTGACCTAAATATATTAAATTAATAAAATAATTAAATCATAAACAATTTTTAATAAAAATCTGATTTTAGAAATTTGAAACTTGTTTTCTTGTTTTTGAAATGTACCATAATTAATTTCTTAGTTAGGAAATTTTCCCTTTAATCAAATTGACCTAAATTTTATCCAAATTTGCTAATTTACTGTAGTATCGTTTCAAAGAAATAGAATTGAAACTCGACAACGTCTTTCTTATTTATTGTGAGCTCGCTATCTTCATTTTTTAGTGATTTTAATAATTAAATCTATGAAAAACTCAGCAAAGAGAGACGCAAAAATAAACATAAGATTGAACTACATTATTTTGTAAGAGTTAAGATTGAATATGTCATTAGTTAAATTAATATAGTTTTGTAAATATTAAAAAAATTAATTATAGCACGGAACCCGAAAGCCGAACTCGAACGGTTTCATAATTAACTTTGGATCCGACAATTTCACTTACTAGATATCAAAAAATTTCGGGTCCGATTCGATTTTTGTTAGAATCAAATCGAATCGGACCATATCCAGCCTAAATAAAATAAAGAGATGATGAAGCACTCTTGATATGTTTCGAGAAGGGAAAATTTTATTAGAGGTCACTCAACTTGTGTATTTGTTTTACGTTAATGATTTAACTTCAATGTATTCCACTTTGATTATCAAGCGTACATTCATTCGTGTTCCAATTTGGTAACCGTGACCAAAATTAACTGAAAACAAGACTTGGCATTTGCTTGACACTGATATGTCAATTGTTTTAAGAAATTTGCATTTGTATCGTCCCTTTTCAATCTGTTTGACAAACTAGTGTAAATCAAGTCCCACGATAAGAATTTTAATAGGCACGCCGAATTATTCATTAGTTTTGAAAATTGTTATGGATTGAAACAGTCAAATTGAAAACTATAGGATGAATAATCAAATTGAAATAAATTGTTTTTTCTTTCCAAAATAAAATCCTTATCAATGACATGACGGGAAATTGATTGATCCGACTTGCACCATGACTTTGGGTACATGAGAGAAATAGCAATAAATTGGACATTCTTTCTTAGTTGTTAGGTCAATGGGAAAGCCAAACTGAAAATTCCAAATCGTTGGTCCCTAGAGACTTCTCTTGCTTAGATGTAGCCCTCGTTGGGTCTACGTATTAATAAAATTTTTAGAAGAATCTGATCCTTTGAACTCGGATTTTTGAATCCTATCTATATGTGTCCTACAATTACCAATTATAACCCTCACTAGACGTGCCTGAATACCTTAATACGCTTGTCGATAAACAAGAGCCTCAAGACAAGTGCTTAATAATATTTGGGTTTGTTTATCCAATTTTAGTAAGCCAGCTTGTTTAGTATGTGATGTTGGACTAAATTATATTGTACAATAAATGATGCTCAGCAATTCTCATTTTTAAACAAGTCATTCTACATATGTTAGTTTCCTACAATCTTGCTCGTGGTACCTAAGGGTGTACCTAATGGACACCCGGCACCTCAGCATTGGCCGAGGCTCCTGCCATGTCGGGGCCCACAGGCGTCTCGGCCAATACCAAGGCGCCGAGTGTACATTAGGTACACGGTTGTGTACCTTTAGCATAGTTCTAATTTTCTAATAGTGTATTGCAGTTGTTGATTCTAACCTCTTTACTAAGGACCTTGCTAATGTACATAAAATTTTACATAATGAGTTACATAACGTCACATGTCACTCTATCATTTAACATTTTAATATATGGTCAAATTTTTTATCTAATCTTTTCCCTACACATCATTTTATGTCCTTCCTTATGTATATTTTTTATGTACAAGTATCATAATTCTTTTACTAATGTCGTCGAGATTGTATGTGTATCGACTTGGTCGCAGTATGTGAATTGACTTTGTCCCCCTTGATCCAAGCCATGAGTTCATTAAGTAAATTTCTCTTAAATGTTGTTGCTTTCCCTCCCATCTAACGACTCCAACCAATAGCTTCTTAATCAAATAAATTAATATGATTTCAATGTAAGACTTTTCTTGAACATAATCCCAATATATAGAATGCATGTATACGATATTATTCATTTGCTCTTAGCCTAAAAGAATAAGCCATGGCTATCATGAAAAATCAATCAGGCTGCTGGTATGTTCACTTCACAGTGTGCCTGATAGGTTTTTTGATATTTCCATTGCCTTCTCAATCTTCAGATCCTGACCCTTTGCAGGACTTCTGCATCGCGGACACGAAAGGCACCTTATCCGTTAACGGATTTCCTTGCAAGCCTGCCGCAAATGTCACTTCAGATGATTTCTTCTTCGACGGGCTAAGCAAAGAGGGAAAGATGAGTATTCCCTTCGGAAGCGTTGCGAGTTCAGGCAACGTCTTGACATTTCCGGGCCTTAACACGCTTGGGATCTCAATGAGTCGAGTCGATATTGGTCCTGGAGGACTCAATCCACCCCACTCCCATCCTCGGGCATCCGAGACAGGAGTAGTGATCAACGGGAGACTCCTCGTGGGATTTATAACAACTGGGAATGTGTTCTACTCCAAAATCTTGACTCCTGGACAAATGTTTGTGATTCCTAAGGGGCTTGTACATTTCCAGATGAATGTTGGGGAAGAGAAGGCCCTGATTTTCACTGCTTTTAACAGTCATTTGCCTGGATATGTTGTAGCTCCGAGGAGTCTCTTTGCTTCCAAACCTTCTGTTCCTGATGATGTTCTAGCAAAAGCTTTCCAAGTTGAAAAAACTGTGATTGATGAAATCAAATCCAAGTTTGGTGCTTGATACTGTTTGTTAAGGGAATTTTTGCCTTTTTCTTCTTTAGCTCAAAAAAGGAAATAGAGAGATTCAAAGAAGACAAATTTCTTGTGTATTTCACCAGAAAATCAATGAATGAATTTTCTGAATAACAGTATGTTTCTAAAAAGTTACTAACAATTTCTTCTTTTTTTTTATCGGTTGAAAAGTTACTAATAATTATTTTAACTTTTGATGGGTGAAAAAGTTAAAATAATAAATAAATTTAATAAATCTTTCTTTATATTGGACAATAGTATATAGAGCCTTGCAAACAAATATTTTAGGGTCGTGCTACATAATCACATCGGTTGACACATCACACACACATGGGAGCTCGGCATTATTTTATTCGCGCGGGACCCGCACCTCGACTGTGAAAGGTGTGTCAACCTTTGTGTCAAAAAATGTGGTTGAATAGCATTTTTCAATATCTTACATCATGTTCTTATTCAATTATGTAATCAAATAAAGTAAATAATAATAAACATTTTTGCTAATTGTCCCCTTATTACTCAACTTGGGTTTAGTTCTTCAGTAAATATTGAGAAATAATCTCAAAGACAATATGGTTCAAAATCAAGATCGTGACAATGAAAACCTAATCGTCTCCGTACCAAAACCTTGCCTAAGATAGTTTAATTATAATACAAAACAGCTCACTAAAATAATGATAAAGAATAAATAAATAAGCACTTCTGATGAAGTTAAATGGTTTTCCATTGACCCCTAAATGATGGTATTCGGTCATTCGTTCAAAAGCTCACCTACACTCAAAAGGTTATATCATATGCCCAAATCAGGTATCATCGACAAATAGTGGTTGAAGATAAAATTGAGTCCGTCGAGGTCATCCTTGGGACTTGGGATTGTTTCTAGGAGCCATAAATTCCCAATTTTTGGATACTGGATAATCCAATATTTCGTATTTTAAACTTTTACATGAGGTAGTTCAACACACTACGAATAAACAAATACCAATGGGAGGAAAAATTTGGGAGTCCATTTACCTACATTAACTTCGACTACCAAAAATATGAGCCCCTCCCCTCTTCTCCATCGACTAGCCCACAATATACAAAAATATGAGCCACCTAATGAACACTTAGAATAGCTGAATTGCCAACAAAGCCAGAGAAGAAATTGTCTTTGTACTTTCCCGTGAAGTTTGGATTCTTCTGTTGAGATCACCATATCCAATTTATACACGGAAACAATCAATAGCCATTGCGCATCATTACTTGGACTTCTAATAATTTACTAAACACAAGCAAAAAGGAAATCCATATGCTTTATCATAGCGATAAACTATCTGATGTAACTAAACAGGTTTTGCATACTCAAAATCCCAACTAAATACAAATATTTCTTGGGCTACATTAACGAGTATCCTCAATTAAGATTTTGATGGGCTTTAAAAGATTATAAATGGGAAAATTACCTAGAAACCTACAATTATAGACTAATTATCATAAATAAGTTAAATTAGTTTAGATTTCAAATCTCAGGTGGTAATTAGGATTTATTAAATATAATCAATTCAAATCTAATAAACACCCCTGACCCCAACCCATCTACGCCCTAATCAATTTTCCCCATTCTCTATTATCTCTCTTCCCTTTCTAGCCACTGCCAAAGCCCCTAATATTCCGGTGTCGGTGCAAGCAACGAGGCACCGCTACTAGCTCCTTTTTGTCGGAAGACCAAGCAACGCCCACCACTATGTAAGTGTCAGCGTCGTCGCTGATGTTATGGTGAAAGGGGCGAAAGGGCACTACTAATCTGGGCAACAAATAGGGGCTAAGATCTGAAGCAACCACTCAGTTCTACTGGGAATGATGAAGAAATTGAAAAAGAAATTCAATTCAACGATCAATTCATCTTTCACCGTCGACGAAAATGACATTCCTACGATCACCGGAGTCACTGGAGTTAATGTCTTCTTTGAATAGTTCTAGATCGAGTCCATAAAGCTTTGGTACCTTACTGCTTCGGCTATTTTCACTTCCATTTGTCAATACACCTTGGGCATCATTAAGCAAACCTTAGTAGGCCACATCGGCATGCTTGAGCTCGCTGCATTCTCGATTGAAAACTCAGTCATAGCCGGTTTCTCTCTTAGGGTGATGGTGTTTGTGTTGGTTGTGGTTTTTGACAATCTGTTGATCTGATTGGTAGTGGTGGGAATGGTTACTAGCAACAAAAGTTGTTGCCGGCGAGAGGAAGTGATTGTTGTGGTGGGTTTTTGCGAGCGACATGACCTTCGCTTTGCTGTTGGAGTTTTTGTTGGTTATGTGGGTTTTGTTGGTCTCGATTTGGGAAACTTTGGTCACGATCTAATGCTGAAAAATTTGGGGGTGAGCTTTGTTCTTTGTGTATAGTTGACGGTGGTAGCCCAGGCTATGATGGTGGTGGTTGTGTTGGTGGTGGTCGTGAGGTGCCAATGGTTCCGTTGCTGGTTACATGTGGTTATGGTGAGGAGGCGTACGTTTGGTTACAGATGTTGGGAATGGTGGTGAGTGACCAAACCTATCTTCATTGTGACTGCCTGTGACCAGATTTGTGTCAACTGTGACCCAATGTGACTTGGTTACATATAGTCACAAATTAGACTAACTTGGTCACAAACAGTCACACTGAATACAATTTTGGTCATGAACACATACAGCTCATTTGCCACTGGTCACAATTCGCTGTTAAGGTCACAATTCACTGGTGAGGTGGCGTACGTTTGGTTTCCAGTGTTGGGAATGGTGGTGAATGACCAAACCTATCTTCATTGTGATTGCCTGTGACCAGATTTGTGTCAACTGTGACCCAATGTGACTTGGTTACATATAGTCACAAATTAGACTAACTTGGTCACAAATAGTCACACTGAAGACAATTTTGGTCATGAACATATAAGGTCACAGCTCATTCGTCACTGGTCACAATTCGCCATTAAGGTCACACTTCACTGCTCACAGATTTGAGTTCACAAGTTCATAGTCAGTATAAAGGGGTCACAAGTCAATATTAACAGATCACATGCCATTTTGTAGAAGTCACAGATCAAATTTATAGGTCACATTTTATGTTATGAGTCACGGGTAATAAATCATAGTTGAAACTCATATTTTGTATGTCACAATGTACAAAGGTCACAAGTTATTGCCCAAAAAAAGAAAAAAAAAAAAAGATTTTTGAATTTAACATATGTAATTACAATTTTTTTTATTAATTATTTCATAACTAAAATTTTAATAGTATTTGATTTTTGAAATTTCAAACTTTATTTTCTTAATTTTGAAATTGATCATATGCATATTCATCCCACTTGATTAGGTCACAGATTCAATAAAACTGGTCAAAGATCACAATGTTAACATGTCACAAAACTAATGAAATTGGTCACAGGTCATTGCCAAAAAAGAAGAAAAAAGAAAAAAAGTAGTTGTCGGATCGATCGTCGGAGCCATCGCCGGAGCAGTCGTTGGAATATTTGTCGGAATTGTTGCCGGAGAAATCGTGGGAGCAGTCGTCGAAATATTCGCCGGAGAGGTCGTCGGAATTGTTGCCGGAGCCATTGCTGGAAGTGAAGTGGGGTGGGGTGGGGTGGAGAGAGAAGGAAAAGGGTTTGATGTGATGGGTGAGTGGGTTGGAGGTGAAGTGTGGTAAGTAGATTAATTATATTATATTTTAATTAAATATTTAATGAATTTAATTATCACCTTATTTTTGAAAGATTTTTAGAAGTTTGTTAGTTTTGAAATGTGATTTTTAAATGGAGGATTTATGTGGTGTTTCCATTATAAATTCTAATGAATTTCATAAATTTAAATAGACTTCCAAAAATCCTATAAGAATCTCATTAAATATGGTGAAATTTCAAAATATGTGATTATATGTATTTTTAAGCTTGAAATCCATCCAAATCTTTTAAAATTTATGAGATCTTTATATATTCACTGGTTATTGAGGATACCTAAATTTTAAAAGATTTTATTGAATTTCATTTAGATATAAATTGGATACACCTAAATTTTAATGAATTTCATTAAAATTTATCAAAATTTCAATTGAGGACACCTCCCTAACCATTAAAAAATGACCTAATGACAATGTTAACTAAGGTGGGAAGAACATTACCACATCTTTTCTTGGCAACATTTATTGGATAACATTAGGCAATAGATCGCTTGTTAAGTAATAAAAAAAGGTTAAAACTTGTTCATTTTACTATCAAGTCACGTTCACCACTCAGATGCCACATGGTAACCAAACATGCCAATAATGTGCTAACAATTGAGGAGGTATATATAAGAGTTTGTCTATTTCAAAAGGAAATGAATGTCATCTCTTTTCTTTGTTTAATATTTTTAGTGTGCTTTGTGTACAGTTGCCTTGAACGAGAGGACATATAGCTTCTTGCCCATAGAGAAGTACATGAACCCAACCACTGAATGTGTTACTAGAGACCCAAAACTGGTCCCTACTATACAGTGCCAAGCTGGTCCACTTTAATCTTGGTTCTTTTTGTTGAAAAAATAATAGAGTGATGACTTTAAAAAAAAAAAACCGTACCAAACTTATTGAAAATTGAAGGGAATAACAGCAAGGAAATAAACAAGGAAAATATGCCAACAAAGATAATGCTTAATGAAATGGATGCCAAAGTCGAGGCAAGAGTTAACTCTTTGTCCTTAAGTTGATTTTGTCTCACAACGATGCCTACGGATGATGGTAATCAACTCTTAAAATGCAACGACTATATTCTTGGTTTGTAGCACTCCAAAACACAAGATTAGCGAACAAAAAATGGATTCTGTACTCCTTTTTAATTTATGCAAAATTTTGGTACAGAAAGAATGAATATAATGATATGCTATGATTGCCTATCATTGGAATGAAGAAATGAATGTCTCAAGGGTCCTATTTATAGAGAGGGAAAGGTTGTGAGTGAATAGATACAGTCCAAAACTTAGCAACCTTTGCCAAGGATAGCAGCTTTTGCTATCGCTAACTTGCCGCCTTTGCATCGCTCGAGCATAAAAAACAGAGAGCCCGTCGCTTGCCTGTCGTTGGCCTATCACTTGAACAATAGTCTCACCACTCGAGCGCCAGGCTAGCGCT